TAGTGCTATGCTAGGGGTTCTACACTAGATGCTATACATATAGCCTAACTAGAAAGCTATCTATTTAAACTCTCTGGATTCAACAATATTACATGTTTCCTTCTAATATACCCCTTTTGGGAACAGTAATTTACTATGAAAAACTCTAAGACTTTAGCCAACAACAGAAGGCATTTATCCTTGTAGTAAACCCAACAGAGTGGTGCATGTTCTACACATGCATTTACCTGCTTGTTTGGTAATTTCTATACTAGTTAGTACATGTTGTGCTGCTGTCACCGAGTTTGTATCTCAAGCCAACTTTTGGGATGCTGCCATAACCCGATCTATATCTCAAGCCACAACCTTCCTAATTAGTCTCCCATTACGTACTCCTTGCCCTTGCAAGGTTCACAACAACCCCGGTACCTGCAATCCAGCCGTCTCCTTATCCGGAAGCTTCACCGGTCCCTCTTGCAGTTCCAGCCTGTAACCTGGAAAGGTTGGTCTGCCCAGATTTTAGATGCCTAAAGGACGCCCTCCTCTTGGTTTTTACTTTCAGAGCATATACTCTTTTCCTCCGGTGTATCCAAAACAGTGGTTTAGCTGTTGTGTCCCCCACTAAAGGACCTGGTCCTACAGTTCTCTGATCTCAGGTCCCAGTTCGAATTTAGCCTTCATGTGATACCATTGAAGATCGCTGCTACTCCCAACTCGGGACTTGCCAAGCGGATTCCAGAACCTTCTTGTTCTTTGGTGTTACCAACACTACCAAGACATCCTATATCTGCTTGGCAGTATGCAGATGCCCTAGCAGTAACAACTTTCCAATACAGGGTATTGGTATGACCCGAGGTTACAGGTTAATCTAAGCCCCAACTTTAATGAAGATCCGTTACCATAACGCAAGCCTATTTTCCAAACTTTCGTTGTCAGTGGGATTTGAACCCTAGACCTGCCACTTGGAGAGGGTGACAACTTGACTACTTCACTAAGCCACCACATCTCTATTTAATATAATATTGTAATATATTTAGTAGTAGAATAATGAATAAAAAAAAGAAACAACATGGATGAATTAGCCAGAAGGCAGCTTAGTAAGTAATTTCACAAGCTATAAAAAACTAATTTTGATAGTTATAAAAACTAGTCTTAGCAAACCATTTACTAAGTTAAAATACTTATTAAGAAGCAAATTGACACATATATATGTTTGTACATACCTCTAATACTGCATTTTGAGGAATCAATATATCAAGTTCTATATCAGTATTAGCTAGATATGACAATGCTATATCTTCTTTAATTTTTTTTAATTATAATTTCATCAGCTTTAAGAATATGCTTGTTGTTAGGAGGGTGACCACAGCTATGCTTGACTGCAGGCATTTTAATTTCAGCATAGTTCATAATATCATCAATGTTGGTAGTTTTCAATTTATTATACTGTAAAATATTCAAATCTTTTTGTAGCTTCGATATTTTGCTATCTTCAAGAATATATTCCAAAGCACTTTGCATAATATTTAATAAAGCATCATGATAACATTCTGGCAACTTTTTGAAGATGTTAGTAGCAAGCTGTAGAATATGATTAACTTCTGCATTATGTTGCATATACCAACGTTGATGAACCTCACTTGGTAGAACGTGAGTATGCAAACATAATAAATATACTACAATTACATGTTGGCATAGTGTTCTAGTATGATGTGGATGCATACATATACAAGTACTTGGTGTTTCAATATGCACCATACATGTTATACTTACCTCATAATCTAATTGTATAACCTTATATATATTATTGCAGAATTTCAAAGCTCCATATTCTCCAGATCTTACAAGATCTCTTTGTTGCTTCACATAGGTTTCAAATGCAAACTGTAACATAATATTTCCAAACCTATATCTTTATCATCTTGTGTACGTCTATTTTGATGTACAAATGACTCATATAAAAACTTTTGAGAGTTTTCGTGATACTGTTGTCACATTATCACAAGTAATCTATTATACAGTACAATAAAAAAAAAAAATCAAATGAGTTAAAATTTGTATTAACTAATGCTTAGAGACTGGACTCATCAACTTAAAACTCAAATAATGACTCAAGTTATTTGAAAAAAATATATTTAGATTTAATTTACACCATTTTTCAATAAATTTCATAACTCGAATGACTCGAGTCCAGTTATTAATTAAAAATATTAATATTTGAGTCATAATTCAAGTTTTAAGTTGACGAGTCCAGTCTCTACTAATACTATATTTAACTACGGGTATGATGGGTATAATTAATAAATAATGTTTGGTGCTAAAATTCAAAACTATAATTAATAACAAGTAATATTGATATTGCAATTTGCTTTTTAAATTTTGAATTTTAGCATCTAACTAATATAACAAATTTGAAATTAAAAAAAAATTTGCAACATATACATAATATAAAATAAAATAATAAATTAATATTGTAAGAAAAACTAAAATTATTTTCATTTCCTACCTATTAATAGATGTTACTCGATTTTCAACACCTTTTAATTTGCTATGTAGAGCTTTAACATGACTAGTTGTTCTAAGATTAAGGTTTATATTTTTTTTTGTATGCAATACAAGCCAACTTTCCTTGTATAGCATTCATGTATTGCACATATACTTTTTTGTACTCAGAAATTGTTCCCATAGTTCTACAATTTCTTGATTTGTTTGATGTTCTGAAAGATCGTCATACATAAGTTTTTGAATTACTTTAATAAATTCATCCATATCAATACTCTTAATCTTTTTTCTCATATTTTTAAAAATATGCCAAATGCATAATTGATGTTTTGCATTAGGAAATACAGTAGATATTGCGCTCATAAGAGCCAACTCTCAATCAGTTATAATCATCATTATATTCAAGTCACTTGTTAAAATAGTTAGTGTTTTACATAATTGTTGTAACACCCAACCATAAAATTCCTTCGTCTCTGAATAAACAAGTACAAAAGCTAAAGGGTATGTTGATCTTAATTGGTCGATACTACAAACAACAATTAATGGTATTGAAAATTTATTAAAATAAATAAATAAATAAAAATAATAAATAAGTGACCCATTAAAGAAAAAATAAATTAATTAACAAAATAAAATTGCAAATGTTTAGAGATTATACCCATCAAAAAATTATACTCAGTATAGAAATTTACAACCAGATACAATCTCTACAAGAGGTTGAAAATAAAAAAAAACCTGTTTGTTTTGTATGTCGCATCTATAATTAATACGTCTTTGGCTATTGCAAACTCAAAGACTGTACTTCGGTAAGCCCAGAAAATTGCTTGCATAAATGAACTATCTTGATCACATTCGTCATTATATGCAGGTTGAGTTGCAAAGTCTTGATCAACAACTCAATTTCATTTAGCCCTTGCAACTTTTGTTGCCGTTGATGACTAATAGCATTATAAATATCATGTTTATGTACATATTTTGAGCTAATAAAAGCTAAAACCGCATATATGTCTTTTATTCGAAGTCTATTATCATGAAGCTCTCCAATCATGCCTAGTTCATTCAGACTTAATTTACGCATGTTGCTGCTAAACTTCTACAATCAGGATTAATTTTATGATTATGCTTCAAGTATAATTTTGTTATGACAAATTTTTTTATATGCTTGCGATAATTTAACCCAATAACAAACTTGCAACCTGTCTGCTTAGTGGTATATGCATTTTTTTTTTTACTATTATACTGCCCTGTTTTTCACAAGCAAAAAAAGCTTGTCTATAGTCACTACTATCTTTATTTTTAGTTGTTTTTGCCAAAATTACAATGATATTGGTCTGTGTAGCATAGTTTTCTATGAATGCATAAGCTTCTTCAAAAGTTGAAAAATTGAGCTCTGCTTTAAGAACTGTAATAGTATTAGTATTAGTATTCATATTGAAAAAAAAACAATATAAACTGAGAAATTAGAATGATAACTAGCAATAAAAGCTAATAAATGATATATTAACGAAAAAAATGTGAATAGATAAGCAAGTATAATAAGGTGACAAAAAGCGAAAGATCACTGATAAAGTGTGCCAATGAAATATCAAAGTAAAAGAATATATAAAAAAGAGTATAAAAATTAAAAAAAATAACGTGACAAGTGTAGAGCAACGAAATGTGAAAGATTAACAATGAAGTGCAATGAAATATGAAAGTTCAACATGAAGTGTCAACGAAATACCAAAATAAAAATAAAAAATTTAATATAAATGGATTGGTAAGTAAGCAACAAAAAGTAAAAGATCAATGACAAAAGTTTGTCAATACTAAAATATAATAATGTAATAATACTAAGAATTTAATCAATTTAATTAATCAATTAATTAATTTTGATGTACACACATATTACAAAACTGAGGTATGCAAATTATTATTGAATTTTGTATATAATAAATGAGCTGTGATTTTATTAGTCAAAAAAAATTAATGTATACGAATTTGATATACAAAATCATTCGCCTAAATTTAAATAGTGCTATGTAAAAATTGGGTTTTTGGGAAAAATGTAAGGAAAATTGAGGTAAATAAAAAAATAGTGGTAGGATATTTATAGATAAATTTTTACAATTTTTAAGGTAGTATAATATAATTAGAGTAAATTATTATATTATTAAATAGTTATCTAACAAACTCATATGATCATAAAAAACCTTCTTTCTGTTATTTTTTTTATGTGTTATGATATAATTGTGCTTTTTCAATATTTAAAAACTAGTTAATTATTATATAAATAAGGGCCCGGAAAGTGAAAATAATTACAAATAGGGCCCAAATTAAAATAGTTACATATAGGGCCTAATTTTTAAAAAATATTACACATAAAGGCCCAAAATAACCACAATGCTATTCACGCCTGTGGCTTAATCATTTTTGTAAGAAATATAAGCACCACATAAAATATGTAATGAGCAAAGAAAGAAAAAGTTTTTGAATTTAATAAATTTTGTATAATTGTTATAACAAGCCACTATGATGTTAAATAACCATTGTGAATTGGTATAGTATTTACTAATATAGAAGATGTCATTCAGCTTTAGAAAGCTACTCTGTTGAAACTTTGCCTTATGAATAATTGTGCAATATTCAAGTAAAAATGATTATAACTAGCAATAAAAATTTCATCAAATTTGGAGTTGGTTTCCAAGAAATTATCTATAAAAAAAAATTTTACCCGATTTGGTTTTTCCAAGATTTTTAGAGTTTTTTTTAAATTTTTTTCTTGACTAATACTAAGCCAAAGTTAATGAAGTTTTTAAATTGTAATTCTACAATAAAGTCAGAGAATATACCATAAATGTACAATGCTGATTATACTATTTATAGTAATAAAACACTAATCTAATAGTTCCAAAAATTTCTTTATGTTAATCTAAGAATGATTACTAACCAATCAAATCAACTGAATAGAAAAAAAATTTATTATTATGCAAACTAAAATATTCCAAATCTTATTTACTATATAAGTGTGAAATAACGGGTATGGGCATTATTTCGAAATTCAGGCACCCCAAAAATAGCATATAGTGTCTCGGATTGGTGCCCATGCGCATCCCAAATTAATGTGCACCCAGTAAAACTTGCAATTAATTAGTGCGACAATTATTGTTATCTATATAGTAAAAATTTACTGAATGGTTATTTTGCGCTTTGATAAGTTTTTTGATTTTGGTAATGAGCGATTATGTAATATCTTGTTAATAGTACCAATATCACTATTTTATTTTTGCGTTTCAGACAACCTGGATATTATATTACATTACTTAAGATTCAACAGTAGTTACTTCAATTGAACTAAGCATTTTTAAAATATTTGCTATAGACACACAAGCTTAGCTGTTAAATAAGCCATTTCAATATTTTCATCTGGCTAATACTTATTTGCTTTTCGGGTTGTATTTTAAAATTTTACATAGATTTTTGCCATGATGTTGATTAATATCAAATACTTTTTTATGCGATATAATAATAGTGAGAAAAAGGTGAAAATATTGTTAATTGCTAAGTTCTAATGAAATTGTTTTATCTATTAATACAATACAGTAATAAGAATTCTCATTCTAACCTTTATTAACATATAGATACCACAATCAAAAATTTAAGAAAAAAATTTAAAATTTAAAACAAAGTTAAAAAAATCAAAATTAAAATCCTGTCATGCATAAAAAAAATACCAGTGTGAGGTGTGGCGACTTAGTGTAGTGGTCTAGTCATCACCCTTTCCAAGTGGCAGGTCTAGAGTTCAAATCCAACGGACGATGAATTTTGAAAAATAGCCTGTATTACGGTTTACGGTTGTCGATTATCGGTTGGATCTAGAAATCTGTAATCTCGG